ACTACTATTAAGAGCAGTAATGCCTGTTTTTATTCAACGCAGATAGGTTTTCTTTTTCTTTTTTTTTTTGTAATACTCCTCTCTGTTAACAGTTAAACAAGTAATCTACCTCTTAGACTGTAGTTCAACACTTGTTTGGTAAATTTGTGCCACTTTATCCCTTTTTACTATCATTCCCAATTTGTTACATTTCTCTAAAGGGGACATTTTATGTTCAAGAATTGTATAAAGCATTTGTAGTAAGATTTTTTTTTTACGCTTAAGATGGTCACTGCTATCAAACCTTATCACACTGACAAATATATTTTATGTAGAAGTATACAACTTAAGATGTGGTTCATGCTATTTTTCTTCTGGCATGAAATATTGTGATTGTCAGATGTGTTTTACAATGGGAAAATAAATAAAAACAAACTTTTTATGCTGTTTCAAGCACTTAACCTTATAGATGAGGCTATCGTGATGCCTTTTATATACATGTAATCAATAATTTAAAAAAAAAAACAACTTTATTAAACCAAGTTTTACAATTTTGCGTTCACAATGTATTGCTTTTCTTTCTGCATAATCCGAATTTAGATTGACCCATGTTTGTATTTTGGTTAAAATATATTCTATTGCTTTTTTTTCTTTAAAAGAGAACTATGGGGTAAGTGTTTTTCCCCATAGTTCTCTTAAGGGTCACGGGAGGACATATACTAACCTCCTACTGTGACCCAAAGCTCAGTATATCGCGAGCTACAGCCCACAATATACTGAGAGCGCCACAGACGGGACAGATCCCGACAATGCTATCAAGATCCACCCAGCTGCGTTAATGACAGCTGGCTCTGCCTATCTAGAGGCAGAGCCAGCTGTACCCGCCCCTTCCCCCGTCCGTTCCTCCAGTCAGCGCTGGAGGATCGGAGCTGGGAGTGGGGGAATCCCTGCAGTCAGCGGTGACTGACAGTCACCGCTCTCTGCAGGGAGATGATCGAGAAGTGAGCGAGCGACGGTATGTGTTCACTCACTTCCCGAACTATTGAGCCAACGTGTGAGTTTCATTGTCACACGTCGGCTCGAACTATGAGGATGAGTGATTTTCACTCACCTCATAGTTCTCCTTTAAAACAGACCTTGTACCTTAGGGTCCGATCACACCTATAATTTAGGTAATATAGTAGGTACGGTTGACGGTTATTTAACTCTAAAGGTTCCTTGTATATTTAGTGAACTAAGAAACTCCCCTGTAAGACTCTTTAATTTATCATTGCTATCAGCTGATACTACTGACTGTGGAAGGGAACTCCACATTTTTACTACTCGCACAGTAAAGAACCTATTGCGCAGTCTAAGATTAAGCCGCCTCTCTTCTAACCTCATTATTCCGGATATTGTGGTCCCCGTTAATGACTTTGAATATTGCAACTAGATCCCTTCTTAAGCGCCTCTTTACTAAGGAGAACAAGTCTAAGGTGATCTTCATATCTCAGGCCTTCCATCCACTTTATTCATTTCATAGCCCTTCTCTGAACACTCTCATGTTCGAGGACATCTTTCCTGAGGGTTGGTGACCAAAACTGAACCGCATACTCAAGGTGAGGCCGAACCAGTGATTTTTAAAGTGGTAAAATTATGTATTTACAAGGATTGCACCGCAATTTCGGGGCGCCAAAATATTTAGGCCGAAAATGCAGAAAGTGACATCTTTCAGCCGAAATAGCGGTGCATCCCTGCTTTCTCCCCTCCCCGCTAAGCATTGCTCTGTGTCCCAGCGGGGAGGAGAGAAGCTGTCACAGGAGGCTGAGCGGTGGGGGAGGAAAGCGCTGTGAGTGGCCAGCGTCTCTCCTGCCCGCAAGGCTCAACCTCCTGTGACAGATCAGGAGAGCGGCAGTGTGGGAGCGGAGACAGCTGTGAGCGCTATCACAGGAGGCTGTGCTCTCCTCCCGCACTGCCTTGCTCAGCCGCCTGTAACAGATCAGAAGAGCGGTGGTATGGGGGCAGAGTCTGCTGTCACAGGAGGGCAGGTTGGCGGTGTGGGGGAGGACTCAGCTGTCAGATTGAGCTCTCCACACCGCTCGTTCAGCCTCCTGCGACAGCGAGTCAGGAAGGAGAGTGGGTACAAGCAGTCAGCGATCTGTGATCGCCGAGTGTTTGTAAATAATTGAGGACATATGGTTACTGTGTCCCCAATTATGAATGAACAGGAAGTTATCTACATCACTTCCTGTTCATTCATAATTGTGGACATGGTAAACATACTATCTCTACAGGTTATGAATGAACAGGAACACTTAGTATAGGGGCTTCCTCTTCATTTATAACAGTGGCTGCAGAAAAAGAGATTGATGGCTCTGTGTCCTCAATCTCTTTCTTTATTTCAAAGGGGAAATATCAAGCCTCCAACGATAGAGAAAATAAATAAAAATAATATTTAAAAAAAACTAAAAAGGAGCTAGTTCTATGCACAGAATATTACTGGATATTGAACATTAACGAAACATAAATACTGCTTATACAAATAAGTGTGAATGTATCACTCATTGGTGGGTGCATGGACAAAGGGACACCCACATTATTAACATTATTATAAACACCTGGCTAGCAAGTGGTTAAAGGTCCGGTCACATATATCAAAATGGGCGGTAACATACTTCAATACTAGACAATTTGGGGCATGCTGAATTTTTATTTTGCTTTTACACAGCTGCTACCTAATTTTGTGGCTAACTTTATCCTATCAACAGCCACCCCCCTTACCTTAAATCAAGTGACATCTGTTAAAACAGTATACTTCACAAACATCTCTTCACACAAGATCACGTATTTCCAAACAACAATGAAATGAAGCTACCCCGGTAATGATTTAAATGTGTTTTATTAGCAAACAGTGACATAAATGCTTCAATGTGTCACATTGCATTCATCTTTATGTACACTTGGGACATCTTGTGGTAACAATCACATACTACATTTAGTTATACCGGAGACATTTGAAAAGCTTATAATCTTAAACCATTTTTACTAAATTCTTTCTTAAAAGTATGAAATAACCACATTGATTTTAATGTTTAAATGATACTCGCTCCATGGCTCCGAGCGCCAACATCCCATGTTCAAAGGCTGTTAAATCGCGTTTTTTACCCATATTTTCAGAAAAACATCACTTCTACTGTCGTGGTAAACAACCTGCTTCCCTATTTATAATGGTCTGGCTCTCTAGCAACTTCAGCGTGAAATTATAGCTAATTATAGCTAATTTGCCTACAAACGTCAGGTGGTCATAATAATCTGGCCACTCAGTGTATATCTGGGGAAGGAGGGTCCCAAAACATAAATAGCAGTGTGTATCCCCTAGTGGTGGCTCTCCTATATTACATAGAATTGGCACATTTCCCCATTGAGGGAAATCCCACCACAAATGCAATCCTGCAACTATATAGTTATATTGAAAACATATAATTTATTAAACACATACAAAAAAATCAATATTATAAGGCACACATATGTATTGCACATGATTCCCACTCGGCTATTACTGATGAAATAAATTCTATTGTGGAACCCTCAAAATCATTCATATATGAACTGCACGGTAGCAGAAAAATGTTTGCAGATTTCTTATGGAGCGGATTAAGCAGATCCTCTGTGCTCACCAATCTGTTTGGGACACACATACACTGACTGATATACTCAATGTATCAATATCTTCGAAATACCATTTTGGCTGAATTATTTGTCACTTAACCGCCTTCGTACCGGAGCAATTTTTTTATTTTTGTACACACATTCTACAATCTGGATTTTTGGATAGAAAATTATTTTTAAAGCCTAAATATATATTTTCTGAAAACAAAGTCCCTGTAGAATAAAATAAATTATGGCTGCATTTCTTTTATGTCGCATGATATTTGCACAAATATTTATCAAATCTATATATTTTTTGGGGGAAAATAACACAAATTAATTTTAGTGCACACAAACACAATGTAATACTCCCTTTTTAGGCAAAATATAAAAGATGGGGTTACATCGAGTAAATAGATAACAAACACGTCAAGCATTAAAATTGAGTGCGCGAGTGCAATGGCAAAAAACTAAGATACTCAAACTTCTCCATTGTTGACACTTTGAAAGCCTTACTGGTCATCAGTTTAGAGTTAACGGTGAATTATGGCCCCATAATTATTGCTATCACGCCGATGTTCACGGCAATACCTAACGTGTGGCGCAGTTGTCGTGTACGTACATGTGCATACTCTACATACACATTTTCATTTGCATGCAGACAACAGGGGAGGCGAGGTTAATGTTTTTTTCTTTTTAAATTTTTAGTTCTTTTACTATTTTCTGCCACTTTTTTAAATCTTTTTTTCCCACTTATCCTTAT